CACGCCACCAGATTAGGCGTTTTGTAATCTCATTACGCTTCTAGTGTAGCTAAGGCATGCTGAATTGTTATGAGTCGGCATGGTGCAGTGGAAAGAATCCTGAACAAGAAGAGTTGATTACTGAGTCACAGTCCAAGATATACTAATACCTTGCACTAGAGAAAGTGTATGCGAAGGCCTTCTACCCCCACTGCTAGATACGATGTATCTACGGTCTTTCATCTTCCAGGAGATGATATAGTTATGTGTCTGTGCCTTACGATCTTTGATCTAGTTCTTGGCTTCCAAACTTTCAATCGAAAGACCATTCCACTACTGGAGAGAACACATCTTCTCTCTGGATGTTTGTCCTTCCATGCTGTAGAAGCTCAGTTAGTGCAATATTTCTAGCATTTCATGGCCCCTTCACTTCCTCTACCAGAAGAAGTAGACTTCTCTAGTAGGTAAATTGGAGGGGGAAAAAATGGCTTGGTATATCCTCTGTTTCCTTTCTTCATAAAACCGCCCTGTCTCAGAGGGCCCCCTACTGTGGGGTAGCCAACGCTAGGCCAGAATTGCTGGAGGGCCAAACCGTCCTCCTCTTTTGGAAGCAAGGAAGAAGAAAGAGGAGAAAGCATGGAATACCCATTGCTTTCCTGTAAGCAGTGAATCTTGCAGCAGCATGCTCTGATCCTTGGAATAAGGCAGGTAAGCTGCAGCTTTCTGAGCCTAACATAAAAGGCCCCAATATCTAGTAAATCAGCCTGTAAGCCATAAGAAATAAATAAATAGAGTAAAAATTGGGAAAGCAAATGTAAGCAAGGTGAAAAAGCTTCTTGCATGGTCAGGATGGGAAACTAAATTTTTGTGGCCCTTTGTGACATACTAGGTTATACAAATTTAATATTACTTAGTTTTTAACTTTCGAGGCTTTGTGCCTCAGGAATACTGAGGTTGTATAGTCCAGACTAAGGAGGCATAACAAAGACAAATTTCAAATATAGGGGAAATTAGTATCCAAGAATTTAGACATTATAGGGTTAAACATCGTTTGCTACTATTATTAGTTTCTTGTCTAGGTCTTCCAGAGGGTTTTTTTTAAATAGATAAGTCATATATTTAAGTACAACATATATGTATTACAGAGCACAAGTGTGTGAGATGCAAATTTCTAACTTGACATTTTTGGTGACAAAAAATATATGAGGTATTATTAGGCTGCCCTAATTATGTTGTTTTGAGTAGCTGTCAGAACACTAGGGGAATAATGGAGGGAATAACCTTGAATTCTTCGGTTTTTCCATGTGGCTCAAGAGTTACCACTGGCCCACTCCCTGTAACACACGTGAGGTTTCTATTGAATATGTAAGGCAGAAACATTATAGCAGATCTCATACTGAATTTAGTGCTCAGTGCAAAAAAAAAAAAAAAAAAAAAGATTTTCAAAGGAGAAATGAAGGTTAAAAGGTTTGTATATACCAAGATAAACTTTTTCTGGGATTTTCCCCCTATTTCATTTTATATTTATTGGCTTTAGTGCTAGACAACTGGCATTAAGTGGCTGGCAGCCTAGTGAATGTAAACAAAATATTTTCCATTTACCTTTGACTTTTTGCAACAGTCTTTGCTGACATTAACTGCTAAGTTCATAAAACATTACTGGATACAAATTCTAAGGATCGACATTTGGCTTATTTTCTAAAGTTCATGGTTGAGAGTTTTCAGTACTTTGATATTGTATATACCCTAATAGTTATTTGGAGTCTTTAAAATAAAAACCCATTTGAAACTGAACGTTGCGTTAGTGAGAAGTGAGCTGCCTGAAAAGAACAGCCAAATCTATGAAGTCCTAGGCACAGTCATCCCAATTCTAATTGGGGACACAGAACTTCTCCAGCTGAAACTAAGCAAAATAGGAGATGGGAGCAAAAGGGTCCAAGGTCTTATTAACTCACAAAGGAAAATTTTTTACAGTAAGTCCCCTACATAAGAACCTTCAAGTTGCGAACTTTCAAAGATGCGAACTTGCATTCTTATGTCCAATCACATAAGTTAGTTCACGTGTCTGACGTACATTGTCACGTGCATGCATCATCTACAAGTGGTTGTGCTTTTGTGTACTTCACTGTACAGGACTGTATAGAGTACAGTAGTACAGTGTCTTTATTTCAAGCCCAGGATGTCTGGAAGCAAGCGTAAAAGCAGCAGTGATGTAAATAGCTGGTACTACTGTACTTTTCAAGGTACTGTACTGTAAGATTAAAAATGTTGTCTTTATTTTTTGTGTTTGTTTTTTATGTATTATTTGTGTGAAAAGTATTATAAACCTTTTACAGTACAGTACTATATAGCCGATTCTGTTAATGGGGTACCTAGGTTAACTTTGTTGGACTTACGAACAAATTGGACATACGAATGCGCTCTTGGAACGGAACATGTTCGTATGTAGGGGACTTACTGTATCTCAGGATTTACTTTCTTTGGTATTTTACTTGCAGAAGAGTTTGCTTCTCAGGCTTTGATTTTGCTCTAGGATTTGGGGCATCTTGTAGCCGCTGTTGTATTCCTACAGTGTCATTGTGCACTTTTATTAGAGTGTCTTTATGATATCATTTGATATTGTCAAACCTCTGGTGGACATATTGTATCATGAGCGTAACATGATATGAGTTGAGAAATACAACAGGAAATGAAGTTAGAGGTTTGGAAATGAAGTGATCTTCAGGTTAATAGGATTAATATTTTGTTCAGATGCATTTCAGAGATTTTTAAGGCAAAATGTAACTGATAATCTCAGTGATATATAAAAAGAGAAGTTATTGGTTTTGGCAGTGTGGATTTAGGAAGGTGAGGGCAGGAGTGACCACCTCTGCTTCCAGAGAGTCACAACAGGTACAGGGTATTTAATCCCAACAGGCACATAGAGAAAACAACTAGGGAATCTTGGAAATACGTTTTTTCTCAATCCCTGATGCTTTCTTTTGTGTGACACTCAATAATGTGCAACTCCTGTCTTTCTTTACTCTTTTACTAATTTGAGGGAGTGGAGTAGGTTACTTGATTGATAAATTTGCGAAGAATAACCAGAGCATGACTTGTATCTCTTCCAAGTGAACTGACCATGAGGCTACAGAGATCTCTGCTCTTCCAAGGACCTTCCACACAGCCATACTTGCCCTAGACCATAAAATATGTAAACGGGTGGATAAGAAAGCCCATTTCTGACTTTAATGAAAAGAATCTCTGCAAATTCCAAGTCTCATCCCAAAGCTATGAATGCTAACTGAGCCCAAGTTATGAGTTGTGTGTGTATGTTTCTCCAGAAACTCCTGAAAATCTCCAAGATCAGAAAATTAGAAAATCATAATTAAGGAAAGAAAAATCAGCAGGGTAATTATAAGAGTAACATTTGGAAAAGCAAGAGGAGTTGGGCCATTACACTGTTGCCTGTGTAAACAGAACTGTGGATTGCAGGTTTCTTCTCAGTTTGAGTCCTAACAATTATAATTTAAATGAAGTTACTGAACTTCTTCCAGTGGTGGGGGGAAGCTACAGTGGTACTGAAATGGAAAATTATAGCACTTAACGGATTATGTGCAGAAAGAAGAAGATAATGTCCTCAATTTTCACCCTAATTTCTTGAGAGCAAATGAAATGCAGTGCATAAAGATATGAGAAAAAAATGAAAGAAAACATAACAGAAAAACAAGGAAAGTCAAAAGCTGGCTGTTAGAGAAGATCAATAAAATTGGTGAACTGCAAGCCAGACTGATCAAGAAAAAGGTCAGGACATCCCAATGTTAGTAATGAGAGTTAATATCACCGCAGATTTTATAGATAGGAAAAGGAAAATAAAATATTATGAATACATTTAAGTAAATAAATTCAGTAGCTTGGAAGAAATGAAAATGTTCCTCAAAAGATACATGTAACCAAATCTCACTACCAAATAATAGTTAATACTTTAAAAACCCTCCACAAAAATCCTTTAGACCAAAACGGCTTTACTGATGAATTATACAAAAACATTTGGATGAAATATTATCAAACTCTTCAGGAAACTTTAAGTAGAATGAATGCTTCCAACTCATCTATGAGGCCAGCATTACCTTGATATCAAAAAACAGACAAAAATATTACAAGGAAAGAAAACTATGGGCCAATATCCCTCATGAGCACAAGTAAAAACATTCTTTATAGCTTCTTAAAAGATTTAGAATACTTATGTAAATGTAATTCAACCATTTGTAGAAAGGATACTATATCATGACCGAATGGGGTTTATGCTAGCAATGCAAGAATGATTTACATTTAAAAAACAATAAATATTTTCCAGCATTTTAACAGACTGAAGAAGTAAAATTGTGGATTATCTCAAAGATGATGGAAAAATCATTTAACAAAATACAACAACTATTTCTGATCGAAACTCTTTTCAAACTAGAAATAGAATGGAACTTTTTCTACCTGACAAAGGCCCCTTCAAAAACCCAGAGCTGACACTTTTAAAATACTATATATGTTTCTCCCCAAGAACAGGAATAAGGCAAGAACATTTGCTCTCATACTCCTATTCAATCTTATAATATGATTCTAGTCAGTGCAATAGGCAGGAAAAAGGAATAGACAGTAACTACATTAGTCACAGTTGTATCTGAATATGCCTTTACTTTGCATTAATTCTTGAATATGTGCTTGATAAAATTTTACACTGACAAACTTTTTCCTTCAGCACCTCAGAGAAGTAGTTCTGCCGATTTCTGGCTCCCAAAGTTTTTGATGAGAATTGAGCAAATGTTTGGAATTATCGTTTCCCTGTTGTGTTCTATTTCTGCTTTTTAAAAATTTCCCTTTATTTTTGGTTTTTATCAATTTGAGTATGGTGAAACTAAGCATGGATTTCTTCATATCTACTATTCTTGGAGTTTGCTAACCTTTAGAAGTGTGTATACTTACTTTTTTCACCAAATTTGGAAAAATTCAGGTGGTCTTTCAAATTTTCTTCTCTGTTCTCTCTCTAGAACGCCAAGTGCATAAGCATGCATGTTCACCGTTTTGATATTGTTCAACAATTCCCTTAGTCATCATTCATTTTTCTCTTTTCTTTAAATAAGGTAATTTCTATTGGTCTTTCTTCAAATTCATTAAGTTTGTTCTCCTGTTATCTCCTTTCAATTATTATGTAATTCCAATGATATTTTTTAAATTTCAGAAATTGTGCTTTTTATCTCTAGAATTTCCATTGGTTTCTTTTTCATAGTTTTCATAGGTACTGTTTCTCTCCTGAGACTTCCTACTCAGAAAGTAGAAGTCCTACTGAGAAGATATTGTCCTTTACCTCATCAAGCACACTTATAATAGTGGTTTTAAAATTCTTGCCTGCTAACTGCTAATTTCAGCATCTTGGGCTGTTGATTTTATTTCCTGTTGAGAATGGGTCACATTCTTTGGTTCTTGAAATGTTGATTAATTTGGGATTTTTATCCTCCCTTAGGCTAAAAGGCATAAACACGTTTGTGTATTTTGTTCGGAATAGTTATTATCTGCATGAAGCTTGCTTTGGTAGAGATTACTCCAGCGTGTTAGAAGAAAAATAGTCATATATTGGCATTAACTCACTCTACAAAAATATTTTATTTTAGTTAACTACACAATGCATTTTGCATTTCACGCATATTTAACTTTTGTTATTCTTTATTCTTTCTTGCATTTCCGTGCTCCCTTCTGGGATCATTTTTCTTCTGAATATTATAATATTTTCTTTAGCATAAATTTTGCTGGTAACAGCTTCTCTCCATTTTTGTTTTTCTGAACATTTCTTTTTTTTTTCCTCCACCTTAATACTTGTTGGTTGTTTCAGCTGGCTATAGATTCTTGTTAGAAGGTAAGTTTTTGAGCACACCGAAATTAATAGTCTGTGATCTTCTGATTTACATTGTTTTAATGTACTATCCATCATTATTGACTCTGTAAAAATACTTTTTTCTCTTAAAAATGCTCTCTTGTATATATATATCTATATATATATATACTGCGATATACAGTACTTTTAAACATACTGCAATATACAGTACTAAAACTATAGTATTGCAACACATAGTATTATAATATATTGTGTTAAAAACAAGACAACAGGCCCCAGGAGTCACTTCTCTAAGCCCCACCGGATGGAAGCTTAATTATGGTTTCAGCTTTCTCAGAAATAGAACCCAAAACTGGTCGATCAGGAATCACCTGGTCAGCAGTTAGCGAGGTCATCTGCCCGATAGACCCCTCCCATCCCCTAAAGGAGGGTGACCTTGACACCACCAGTCCGCTATTTGCTGGTATAACTTCCTTGCCTCTGCTCCCTTCTGCCAATAAAAGTCTTTGTTTTGTACAGCTCCTAGGAGCTCCTTTCTACCTGCTAGATGGGGGTGCTGCCTGTATCACGAATAGTTGAACAAAGTCAATAAGATCTTTAGAATGTACTCGTTGAATTTTGTTTTTTAACAGTAGTAAACATAAATTAGTCTAGGTTGCCAATACAGGCTTGGAATTAGGCAGACTGAGTTTATCACCTACTAGCGTTTTGACCTGGAACAATTTACCAAATATCTCTGTGCCTTAGATTTTTCAACTGTTGAATGAAGGAAACAGTATATTCTTAGAAAGTTTACATGAGTTAAATATGAAAGCAGTAAGAACACTGAGTATTAATATGGCCCAAATACCCCATCACCAGTTTCAGAGTATTTTATTTATTCTCTTACTATACGTATTATATCCTTTCCTGGGATTTTCTTGAACAACAATAGTCTTTATTATTGTCTGTCAGTCAAGCATTTGACACACAAACGTTTAAAATAATTATACTAACAGCCTCATTTATCAGATATGAAGAAATTAACCATCAGGTTTGGGAATATAAAGTTATATACATAGTGAGGGTTTTTTCTCCTCTTCAATAAATAAAATAAAAAATAGGGTAAAGTGTGTGCAAAGATAAAACCCAAAGAAAGGCAAAAATCAGCAGCTTTGGCTAAATATAATAAATATTCCAGAGGATAAATAACACCCCAGACCCCAAATGTCACCAATAAAGAGTAGAAATAATAATAAGAGAGAAAGAAGTACTAGAGTCAAGTTGGCTAATAAAGTTGACCTTTTTACAGGTCTGTGAAATAATCATCCATCTGTTTACTGTGTCTAGATGTTCTAAGTGCTTTCATATAATGGCTCATAATTTTCCCAACTCCCCAACTCCCTTTTTTTTATTTTGGAGGGAAGAGATCATTATGCTTCCCCCACAAAGAAATTTTCCTCTTCAACAACCGATCTCCACCAATACCGCCCCAAATGTATATTCAACAGCATAAAAATGCTTGCTTTTTAGCACTATGCTGTTTAGTGTTATGGATGGCTGCTGTACGCAACCTAAACTTCCTCAGTGTTTGGCTATAAAAGAAGTTCAAGGAGGACCCAGCATGCCCAATCACTAAGTTTTGTCCTTCTACCCCCCAATTATCTGCTACAAACACAAATTACTATCCATCCTCATTGCCACGATCTCTCCATGGTTACAAGCATCTCACAAGGAAGAAAGTGACAGAATTGTGTGTGCTCTCCTTGCCCTTAGTCTTGCTTTTTCTGATGTATTCTTCACAAAGCAGCCAGAGTGAAATACTTAATAAGGATTAGTAACTTCACTCTCTTGCTTAAAATAAAGCAACGCCTTTTTCTAGGCATCAGAACGAGTGCAAACTCCTGTCATAATGTACAAGAATACCTTCTAAGAGACTTTCATTTCAAAGACATACCCGGTGTTTCTAATAGCTGCAACTCAGGCCACTGTCTGCCGTGCCCAGTACATTCTTCACATACCTGGCTCTTTCCCGGAAACTTTATCTGTCAGGCTCTTATTTGGATGCACCATATACTAGTCACCGTGCCTGGAAGACCCTTCACCAGCCTTCCTAGCCTTCCCCCCAGGTCTATCTTCTGAACATCTCCAGGTCTCACTTTAAATATCACATTACCTGTAAAGCCTTTCCTCACCCTGTACCTTTTCTTAGGAAATAAACTGACTTCTGCATCTGTATTTACCTGTTCCTGCTGTAACATAACATGTCTTTCTGATTTGCTTTTATACAACAAGTGTCCTAGTATTTGGCACACAGACAATAATTAAAATAAGATTTATTGTTGAAATGATTTTTCCCATTAGACCCAGAAACCAATCATGAACTCCATATATCTGGCCTGCAACTGAGAAACAGGAGTTCTCATTACTTACCCTTCAAGTGTTCGTTCTCTGGATCACCCCAGAACACGTTAGCATTATAATTATAAAATAGTTTTATAGAATTTCTCATGACATCCCAGAGTAAGGAGACAATACAAGTAATTTATTTTCTGAGCAGCTTCTCCTATATCTCTCTCCCTTTTTTGTAATTGATTAACAAGGTCAGGGATCAGGGCAAGCTGGGAATTTTAGACCTGATTTTAAGGAGAAAAATGAGCTTTGAGAAATACCCGCACTTCAACTCAGACTGTGCAGTCTCAACATAACGCATTTAGGGCATTGTAAGGAGCAGCCTATTGTTTCTGGAGATAAAGGGCTAGAGAAAAATGATGCATACCTCTTCCCAAGGAGCTTACATACCAGACAGGGAAACTGACATTAAACCAATAATGTGTACAAACTGAGATGTGTATTCTGAAAATATGAAACATGGTTTTACAGGCACTTAGAACAAAGGGCTATGATCTAAACTACTATTTGAAAGAAAAGCTTGAGTTGAAATTAGAAGATGATAAAATTTAACTGGAGAACAGGTGGAGAATTCCAGATGGAGAAACAGGATATGCAAAGCAAGAATCACTGCACAGCCCTGGAGCTGAAGAACACTTGGGAGGGGAAATGCAGAGCCAAGATGCTTATCAGCTTTGGGGAAGATTTTATTTTATATTTGTCCTAAGAGCCGGTGGAACCATTGGTACATTTTAAAGACAGAGATGAGATGACATAATCAGATTTTATTTGTGACTTGATATCTAAAAAAATCCCTATGGTTTAGCTTATCACCTCTCTTCATTCTAGTTCAAGAAGATGAATTAAATTACCGGAAGAACAAATAGAATGATCATATCCACTGAGATTCCTCAGTGCTTACTAGGTTGGCTGGAAAGAGGCATTAAAGAATTGAAATGAAATCCCCTTTGGTAGCTTCACATACTGTCCCCTTGACAGTCAGTTTTGGTTTTGTTTCTTAGGTTCTTTTTTTGGAGCTATGAATCCTTTGAGCATAGAACAGAAACTTTACTGCCAGGCATACACACTAGTATGATATTTGAAGACGTAAAATCCTAATTTAATTTAATAGGAAGAAAGAAGTTTCAAGCCATCTTTAATAAAAAAAAAAAAAAAAGGGCTTCAGAGGTCAGTGTTTTGTATCAGAATTCAAAACAACTATAATAACCAGAAACTAGATAGCAGTATAAACACTATTCCTTGGGGAAAGTATATATGCTTGAAATAAAAGTGCTTGGATATAAACATGATATTTAAATAGGGTTAGAACAACAATATGATCTGCTATATACAAAGTGATTTAATCTAAAGCAAAATCTTTCAGCATTTGCATTCCATTTTCTATAGTTTATAGTATTGTCACGATACTGTCTCTTAAAATTTTAAATCACACTATATCATACCTGGATGTTTAAAAAGCAGATAAGGAAAAACACGTTTAACATTCTTTATCTCAAATAAATGATTCTTATCTAAGAAGAAATGTTATTTTATGGATTTTCTGAGTATTAAAAAAGGGGCTCAAGTATAGTCTAGGGTTTGTAAAGTTTAAGAATTATTTTCTACATGCTATACTTTGAATATTTAATTTATAATTATTTGTGGTATTTCATAATCAATGTATTTCAGAGAAGTTATAAAATAAAAGTAAAATCTAAATGTAACGGCATTGATATACTTCATATTGCTGGTAAGGTAGAAAAACCCACTGTCACCATACTTATTAAGTAGAAAGAACATAGGCATAGAATTAGAACTAACATTGAGATCAAGCTTCCTTCAAAGTTTTACAGTGGGGATTACACTTATATATATAAATGAGTAAAATATGCCCTACCCCTAGGAAAAGTGTAAGCATTCAGTGTTATAGCAGAGAAGAGATAGTCCCCTCACCTGGGTAATTGGAAGAGGTTTTACGAAAGACCATTGACGAAGAGGTGGCCAGAGTTTAGGAAAACCACATGGCAAAGGGTGGTGATCCAGGGCTAGTAACCACAAAAGAAAGAGTAGGTTGAAAGGCCTGTCTAACAGGAGACTTGGTCTTGAGTGGAGGACACAGACCACATGAGGAATTTTGCATGAAGGGACTCACGTATTACATATACTGACCTTACTCTCCCATTTTTTCCTTCTCTCTGGATCTTCTACCAGTGTGTACCTCTCACCAAACTTACCTGGAAGCTAGAGGATAAAGGATGCATGTATACAACCTTTATAGCTCAGCCTCCTGGGACATAGGAAGGTAGAGTACAGAGAAGAATAGAAGCAAATGGAAGAAATACAGCTCAGTAAGTACCAATCGATTTTTTTAAAGTATACTTTTCTGGTTGAATGAGATATTTAACAAATTATACATTTGATAAATTTTCACAAAGTGAAATGCAACCAATTCAGGAAGCAAGATAAATAAATGGTATTGCAATGAGAATACAGGAAATGTGTCGACCAAAAACATTGGAAATTATTTTTCTTGAGCTGTGAGCAGCCATCGAGCCTCTCAAAACTGGAAGTCATTGGGACTTCCCTGGTGGCGCAGTGGTTGAGAGTCCGCCTGCCGATGCAGGGGACACGGGTTTGTGCCCCGGTCCGGGAAGATCCCACATGCCGTGGAGCGGCTGGGCCGGTGAGCCATGGTCGCTGAGCCTGCGCGTCCGTAGCCTGTGCTCCGCAACGGGAGAGGCCACAACAGTGAGAGGCCCGCGTACCGCAAAACACACACACACACACACACACACACACACACACGAAGTAATTTCCCTTGCTGATGACATGGAGCCCTTCTCTCCCTCAGCCTCCTGAATCCCTTTCAACACTTGTGCCTTGAATTCAGCTGCTTTAGGGAGAACATTTTGGAACAGGGCTGAGGTTTGTCTATGTCCAAGGGGAGCTGATGACATATGCACCTGTCCAAATAGGTAGGAACTTAGGGAGAGGAGAACTCAAACTTGGAACTTAGGGAGAGGAGAACTCAAACTTTTATGACTCCACTGGGTACAGGGACTCAAGTCACTACTGTATCCAGTATCGGGTAGGGGGTGGGGACGGTGCTTCTTCATCTGGATTTGAGTGATGGGGGTTTCCTCAAGGTTCTCAAAGAAAGTTAAGGTGACCTTGTAGGGGGAGCCCTTTGGGCCAGTTTTGTGCTCTGCTGTTGTTGCCTCCACCCCTGAATATACACTGGAAATTAATGTGTCATATGCTTGTACTTCTCCATCCCAAATTGCCAAATGGGTTAGATGCACCCTTTGAGAAGTGCTATTGGGACAAATAGTTCCTTACTGTCTCCTGTTCCCTCCCAGGTGGTCCAACAGAAACAATTTGGGGAAGATGGGGAATCACAGCCCTAATTAAAGACCTAAAGGCAGCAGGTTTAAGAAGAGATGTAATAACATCTCTGGGCAGTGGCTGAAGTACAAAGAACTTACTTTGATAGACACGGTTAAAGGACATGGTAAATTTTATGTATAAAAGTTGTAAATACATATGAAGTCCCCCTTTTTGAGCTACTTAACAAATCATATTTTTGTGCTTGGTGCAGGCAGTAGTCAATGTAGTTAAGATTATTTAAGGATGACTCTCCTAATGCCAGAGACAATATCTCCTGGCAGTAGCCCTGTGTGCCAATCAAAAGGAGCAGCTGGATCTACAGGCTTACAGAGGGTCATCATGAACTGAATTCACTCCTTGGGCCTAGTGTCCCAGCTGTTCTAGATGCTGCGGGCGGGGCTGAACCATCACACAGGTGAGGGCCCTCGGTCGCTGTCTTGGACATTACCAATGCCCTATATTCTGTACCACTGGCAACGAGGGACCAACACTAACTCACATGCATGTGGCATGGCCTCCAATAGATGTCTGCAGTTCTCCCCTGCCATTGGCCACCAGTGATGGGTCAAGATATAGGACACTTCCGATATCCAACATTTTCACCGTGTGGGTGATGTCCGATCGATCAGCAACTCAGAACTTCAGTCTTAAGGTCTAGATGTGATGTTATCATAATCTACCAGCAGGAGTGGCTGAGAAACCCTGACAAAATGCGGATCTGCTCACCAAATCAAGTTCACCAGGATTGTGTGGGTGGATTCCCAATGCAAGGTCCCTCCAGCAGTCCAGGGAATACTTAATCCCCACCACTAAGAAGAAGACCCAACACCTGTGGAAGTTTTGGGAAATCAGAGGCAGTAGGTGCCTCACCTGGGCATTCTCCTTGATCTTTTATGCTGGCTCCCTGCAAATTCACATGCTCTCAGTGGGCCCAGACCAGCTGTGGTGTGCGTGCTCTACCTCTGTGGCCTCTGCAAGGGTGAGTATCCCTCTGGGCTACAGTCTCTGGAGCTTTCTCCTCATTGCAGGATTACTCCACTGAGAGTGTGCTTGTCCTGTGCTTCTCCACTGGTTACTGACACCTCAAGTCCTTAAGGCACTTGCTTTGACGCCCCAGCTGTAAGCACTGCAGAGGACCCTCAGGCAGAAAGCTACAAACGCGTAAATGTCCTTCACTGCCATGTCTGTCTTTCACAAGTAGACTCTTCAGTTTCTGCCTTCTTTTGGTGACACTAGAGTGCTTTCAAATAGATTTTTTTTTTTAGGCTTTATCCTTATTGTCCGCAGGAGGTTTAGTCTGACGATCTATTCCACCATTACCAAAATCTGGAACCTCTCATTTTTTAAATTTACATTTCCCTAGTGACTTAACCACATTTCCATGTGTTTAATGGCATTTTGGATACCTGCAAGCTACTTGTTCAAGTTTTAGCTCATTTTTCTCTTGGGCTGTCTTCTTTGGTTATGTAGACCTAGTTCATTCCCTTTGACCTCTTAGCATCAGTGGTTTTTAGCTTGAAATGTGGGCTTGCATTCATATATTTTTGAACTTTTAGCTACAGGCTAAACGTTAGGATATCATTTATTTTCCATTTTTAGCTGAACTTACTTTGTTGAACCTGTACATTTGGAATACACACCGTAGTTGCCAAGTCTGTCTGAAGCCTTGCCATTAGGAGAGTCATCCTTAAATAATCTTAACTACATTGACTAATGCCTACACCATGCACAAAAAAATGATTTGTTAAGTAGCTCAAAAAGGGGGACTTCATATATATTTATAACTTTTATACTTTAATTTTTTTTTTTTTTTTTTTGTGGTACACGGGTCTCTCACCGTTGTGGCTTCTCCCGTTGCGGAGCACAGGCTCCGGACGCGCAGGCTCAGCAGCCATGGCTCACGGGCCCAGCCACTCTGCGGCATGTGGGATCCTCCTGGACCGGGGCACGAACCCGCGTCGCCTGCATTGGCAGGCGGACTCTCAACCACTGCGCCACCAGGGAAGCCCTATAACTTTTATACTTTAAATTTACCATGTCCTTTAACCGTGTCTATCAAAGTTCTTCGTACTTCAGCCACTGCCCAACACTCCTTATCTCCTTCCCGAACAACCTCAACAGATTGGATTTATTCTTAATTTCTCCTGCAGTATATCTTTGATAAATAAAATATTTGAGACACATAAAATCTTTGATACATATCAAGTTATCAGTAAGAAGATTCACTATTATGCAGATGTAGGCTCTCTTCAAATACATAAGTTTAATATAATCTCAAAAATAATTTCAATTGGATTTCAGTATTTATAAAGTAACTTTTAAAGGAGAAATAGTTAAAGCAGCTCTATGGCAAAAATAGTAGAAATCTTCCCAACCATATAGTAAAATGTTTTGTGGAACAACAGTAAGTAAATGAAGTGGCTTATAGTACAAAATAAGAGTAAGATTAATCAGATGGAATATAAAGCGAGTTGATGTCATATAAGTGGCATTTCAAGTGAAAAAAATACCAAAACATCATTAAAATTTCTATTCATGAAAGAGAAACTACAAATTTCAATGAACTATTTTTATCTACTGCATGTAAAATAGTTAATTCCCTGTATACTTTACAATGTGGAAAAACAGGCTGTCATACAATACTGACAGTTTTTAAAACTAGTATATTTCTAAAGAAAATCTTGATAACATTTATCAATAATACAACTCCAAAATAAATTAGTCTCATTAAGACCAATTCCACTTCTAAGAACTGATATAGGAAAATTATTAGCTAAAATGTAAAAAGATAAGCACAAAAAGTGACCATAGAAAAAACTTGCTTATTGTACCCAAAGTCTTTTTTTTAAAGGAACTTGGTTAATTAATATTTTTTTTTAGAAAAAGGAATCATAAACCACTCAAAATATTTATCTGGTTATATCTTTGATATTTAGGAATTTTTAATATTTTATAAGAGGAAAATGAAAATATATGAATGTCATGATTAAATTTTTTTAAAAATAAAATTTATACATGTATACATACATACGTACATGTAAGATCCATTGTGATATACAAAAAATTCTAATGGTATTTTTCTGGAGGAATTATGGGTAATACTTTTTGTTACACAGTACATTACATCACATCTTTTTTGTACAATCTTTTAAATTTTGAGCATGAATTCATTTAATAATCTGAAAAATCTATTTGTAATATTTTAGAAACAACTTTGAAATAATTTTACCCAGGGAATTACGAGTTATTTACATGTCAAATAATATTTTCAGGAAGTTGTGAATGATCTCTTCCTAGGAATGGTAAAACGTACTTCATAAAAGTTGAAGATTTCCACTATGGACTCATTCAATTCTTTTTTTTTTTTTTTTTTTGTACACGGGCCTCTCACTGTTGTGGCCTCTCCTGTTGCGGAGCACAGGCTCCGGACGCGCAGGCTCAGTGGCCATGGCTGACGGGCCCAACCGCTCCGTGGCATGTGGGATCTTCCCGGACCCGGGGACGAACCCCTGTCCCCTGCATCGGCAGGCAGACTCTCAACCACTGCGCCACCAGGGAAGCCCTGGACTCATTCAATTCTAAATTCTGAGTCTATAGTTAATTTAGGTTTGTTTATAAACAGTATACATTATGTATACATTTCTTGTATGGTGTCAGGGAAGAAAAATTTTCCTCTACCCTTCCCAGTTCTTCTGGCTGGTCTAATAAGTCAATTGACATGAGACATTAAAGGGAGAAAATCAAATTTAATTTCATATGAAAGGGGGCTCCATTAGAATATAAAGCACTCAGGAGAGTTAGGCAACTGACTCTATAGCTATTAGCTAATAGGGACTTCAAAGAGGGAGGAATACCCTCTTTGAAGGGAAGGGAAGAGGAAACTTTTGGTCAACAAGAGTTGCCCTGTCCTGTGGAGAAGTCTTTCTCAGGTAAAACAAAGTTACCTTAGGTGACAGCTCTCTTCCTGATGCATCCCCCCTATCTAAATTATTTTAAGCTGTTAAGGGGAGGTTAAAAAGAAAAATTTCCTGAGTGTTCTGTTTCTTAAAAATAATCAGCCTAACATAATTCTCATGCCAAAGAAATACATTTTGGGGTGGCAAAATTTGCTCCCCTACAATGCTTATAGAAAAAAAATCATATTCATATTCAGTACAGACAGTACTTGATTAGACAGTACATAAACTATTGTTAAAGTCATTTACCTTCCTCTGCCTCCATTCCATATAATTCATTTATATTAGACCCTTTACAGTAGGGAACAGGTCCTACAGTTGCATTGCATCTTTCCATGTTACCAATCATAATACATTCAGTTAGTGATCAAGAGATAGAAGTTAGCCTCATGATGTCAGGGAATGTGTTCTCTTTACGTTTTTTGTTAGCTCTAGTATCTAGAATGTACCTGGAACAGAATGAGTATTCAATAACTATTTGTTAAAAATGAATAACATTTGATAATGAAGATGAGTTTGCCAGACTCAAAATAAAACAAGGTAAATAATAATATTTCATAGATCCCTACCCCACTATTTTATATGTCTTCCTTGCAATCAAAATTTATCAAGAACTTGCTGATTTTTAATCATATTTGCCACAGAACTACCTGACACTGAGCATTTGAACAATGCTCTGATTTGTTCATATTTAGTATCAGCTTCCAAATTCTACATTAAAGCACAATGTTTTTTAAACTACTTAGGCTTTGGTAAAAGGCCAGATTTGACGGCACGGAGGATGTGATCAGTGGTTATCACACTCCTAGATTATAAAGCCAAGAAAAAAGAGATGAGGAAATGGGTGATATTGTGGTGAACCACAGCTTATTGACTGTAGCTGAGTCACATCATAAAACGGTCATCCAATCCAGGAAAGGGAAACTCCGGTATTGCTTCTAATTTTTCTCTGAGCCCTGTTCGTGGTAGGAAAACCTGTGAACAACGTTCTGTTAATAGCCAGTCCAATGCTCCTTTTTTACTTGCAGAAATATTTTCTTGAGAAATATTTGTATTGACCTTTCTTTAGGAAATACACACAAAAATGTAAACATTTTTATTTTAATAAAGATCAAAATCCATTAATATATTAATCAAAATTCAAATGCATATCAAAATCTGGGGATAAAAAATTATTGTTATGCTTGTTCCTCTCTTCTTGTGTTACGGACTGAACTGTGTCACTCCAGCATTTATATGTTGAAATCCTAACCCCCAGTGTGACTATATTTAGAGATAGGGCCTTTAAGGAGATGCTGGACCTTAGCTAAATGAGGGCATAGTGTGGGACCCTAATCCAATAGGACTGCTGTCCTGATAGAATGAGGAAGAGACATCAGAGATCTCTCTCTTCACACAGAGAAGAGGCCACGTGAGGACATGGAGAGAAAGCGGCTGTCATCATGCCCAGAAGAGGGCTCTCACCAGAAAACAACCCTGCAGGCACCTTGATCTTGGACTTCCAGCCTCCAGAACCGTAAGAAAATACATTTCTGTTTTTTAAGTCACCCAGCCTGTAGTATGCTGTTATGGCAGCTCTAACAGTGATACGAGAGTCAGTAATAGTCTCCTTTGCTCTTTTTATTATTCGAATAGAATTGAGGGTGGAATTCCCCTAATGTCAAGTTCCACTCAAGCATGTGCTCTCAGACTTTTCATTTTCTTCAAACATCACTAACTGCCTTAGGTGTCAGCCACCCCTGAACTGCTGTTTCTGTAGTCTTGTTCATAGAGCGGAGTGTGTGGACTCAGGGCTCGTTACATTTTCTGGGCGGGGCGTGCCTCCTTCTGGAAGGCTTTGCACTAGAAGTGACTAAGGGGATGGAGGTGCCCTAAGAGTTTCCAAATGGCAGGAGGTGTCATTGTCTACCATGAGGCTCCCTCAGCAGGCCATGTGCTGACCCAGGCATCTCTTCATGCCAACACTGCGACAATTTACTGAGTGTCCCTGCCTGTTCCTTTCCCACTGCGTGTTTACTTTACGTTAATATAACTTGAATGCCAAATAAGCTGTTGTTCGTGCCAAAGCTGCTGTCATTCCGGCTGGGTAGAAGCAAGTGTTACAAGTAAACTGGAGAAACCCTTTCAAGGTAACAGACAAATCAAGGTTGACACTTCCTCGTTTATAGAGTCAAACATTTTCAAGGTGAGGGACCGAAATCTCTACTGACAGGAACCATTAAACTCACCGAGTGATGGTGAAAAATCAGTAAGTCACAGCTAGAAGGACCTGTTTTCTCCATTGGAATAAAAATACCGGAATTTAGCTGTGTAGTCACTGTGGAAAAGGAGTCAAAACAAAAGGTCAATGGGGAATTCGAAGCAGGCAGCAGGGTTTTTGGCATCCTGTCATAGAAAAATATTTCTTTAATCTAGGATGTATGCAGAGGTTCAATCAACATGATTGAAATAATCCTGAAATAAATCAGATAACTAAAAAAAGAGTACTTTTGCTGTATATAATTGCTTCAACGATAGAGAACCAATACTCACTGGAAAGCATGTAACTTTCTGAATGTTAAGAGAGGTTGATTTTATGAGTTCCAAGATTCCGCTGAGATATGACATTCTACAGTTATAAACCAAACCTCCACTGTGATTTAAATTCATCTTCATTTATATAGGACGTGGCTGTCCCCCAACTATTTTCGTGATACCTGTGTCACATCTATATTGTGATAGATGGCATATACAGAGATGTATACCCAATAAAATCTTGTGCAAAAGTGTACGCCCGCCAACTTACTTACAACATTAGCATAATCACCAGCAAGGGAAAAAAAAATACAAAGTTACCTTTATGTTGGAAGTGCCTCCTTGCTTCCCTCTGATCACTGTTCACACTAGGTTTTTACGCTGAAACTTCATTCTGATTTCCATGCTTCTCACTTGCTTGCTGATTTTTAGGAACTTTTTTTTCTTAAACATGTATCCCTAAAAGCTAAAATGAATGGAATTATACGAATATGGATAATTCTGCAGTTGTTTCTTAGCTCAGCATTACATTTTAGAGAATCGCCCACCTTGTTCTGTGCGCGTGTGCAAGTATCTCTGATGGGTCTATAGTCAGGAGTGGGTTTTCTGGGTCATAAGATAAGAGTATCACCAAATAGAGAAAATATAAATTACCAAACTGTTCACCTCAACCGTCAGACTAGGTTACTTACCCAGTAGGATTGTAGGTGGGTCTCTGCTGTATCATTTCTTTCTTTCAGCAATTATGGTTAATGGGTAGTAGGACTGCTTCGTGGATTTAGTTTTCATTTCCTTAATTATTATTTAGACTGAACATCTCTTTTTGACTAATGTAACCGAGCAAGGGCTCATGTGCTGGAGGTGCAGAAACCCAACCTGACAGTGGACATTTGCAGCAAATTAAGAGTCTGTTGCAGGTGCCAAGCAAGAGAGTAAGAGACAAGCATCAGACCCACTCCCCCTTGGTCTGTAGCTGTTATTTATTTTTTTAAAGGGGAGGAACAAAGAGGCTAGGATTTATCATTGTCTAGTGACGTTTCTCTTAAGCGTTTTTCCTTTGGGTACGTTGGTTTGGAGGAGTTCTTCATAAATTTTTTCCTTAGATGACATTTGTTGATTGCCTGTGTCAGAAATGTCATTTCTTACTCTTGGCTTGCCTCTTCTCTACTGGTATCTTTTGATAAATAGAAATTATTATTTTGAATATAGTATAATTAATCATATTTTCCTTTATGGTTGATAAATTTGTGTCTAGCTTAAAAAATATTTTCCACCCAAATAGTAAAGATGTTCTCCTATATTATATTTTAAAAGCTTTGTGTTGCTTTTATATTAGATCTGTGTTCGCCTGGAATTAAGTTTTTGTGCGTGTCGAGGTGGGTCGAGGGTGTTTACTTTTTTCTCTTTCTTCTTTGAGGGTAGAAGGTAAGGAGTATCACATTGTCAAGACAACGTTTGAAGATGTGTCCCTCCTCACTGCTGTGCAGTGCTGCCTGGGTTTATACACACATCTGTCTAGTCCAGGGCTCTATTTTACTCCATCTCTCCTGTCCATCACTGAGCCAGGACCCACTGCCTACATTATGCAAGTTTAAAACAACTCTCAATATCATTTATAGCCAATCCTCCCTCTTATTCTTCCAGAATGTTTTATCTACTCTTCCCCTTTGTATTGCCATAATTATATTAAAATCAGCATGTCAGTTGCCACCCAGGGCAAACATATTTCTAGTACTGTGATTGGAATTGTTGTTCTTACGGTGATCAGTTCAGGGAGAATTGACATCTCTAAATATTAAGTATTTTAATCAATAATTATGGTATATAGTATATCTCCACATTCATTTCTCTCAATTATAAAAGGTCTATTTTTGCTTTACCTCTGTATGTTAACAGGTTTAGAAATGTAACTGATTTTTCTAAACAACCCTCTTTATCTTCCCATCATTGATTAAAATATTCTTTAGGATTTTTGAATCTATGTCTACAGAGAGATTTGTCTGAGTGTCACTTTCTCCTTAGAGCTGTAAGAGATTTTTATACCAAAGTTTTGCTTGCCTCATGTAATGGATAGATAAGTGTTTCCACTTTTTATAGTCTCTGGAAATAATTATTAAGGCGGCAATATGTCTTTCTTAGATGAGTGATAAGATTTGTTGGTGAAGCCACGTGAGCCTGAAATTAAGGGAAGGCTTATAATTGTGAAATTTAATATTTTTAATGAGTATAAGATGTGTAATTTTTCTCTTTTTGCTCTGAATTTTGATAGGATGTGTTTTTCTAGGCCTTTGAGCATTACCTCTAACTTTTCAAATTTACTACCTTAAAACTGTTTATAATGTCCTTATTTTATAAAAACATTATAAACATTAAATATTTGTAGAAACTGTATTGATTTTCCACTCTGATCAGTGAGGTTTATTGTTTGTGCACTTTTTTGTTTCTGCTGTTCAGTCTCATCAAGAATTTATTGAATTTATATAATACATTCAAGAATCAACTTTAAGCTTTTTTGGTCTTCTTTATTTCATTTTTTTAAATTTTATTCTTTTATTCTCTTATCTTTTTCATTTCCTTCAGCCTTCCTTCTTTGTGAATGAATGGGTTTGATTTAATATAAAAAAGATTATTCTGCAAGTCAGCCTCATGTCAGAGGCTTACCCAGTATCAGGCTTCACTCATCTATACTTGTGTTGAAATGAGATGTTTACCTTCATTTTTGAAGATTTTTGCTGTGTTGGAGAATCTAGGTTGGCGGTTGTTTTACTGGCTTCCATTTTTTTATGTTGAGAAATCAACACTCATTATTGTTGTTGACCCTCCAAATGTACATCTCTTTTTCCTCTGCACCCCCCCAGAATTTTCTCTTGGTTTCAGTCTTGCTGTGCTGTGCCTGCCTGTGACCTCCCTTCTCTTTCTCTTTCTTGGGGCTCAGAGAAGTGCCTGGATGCCTTTGCTACTCTGGAAAACTCTCAGACACCATTTCTTCAAACACAGCTTCTCTCTCCTCTTCTTGTAGCATCTGACTAGGTGTCTGTGGTCCTCTCTGCCTTATGCCATGTGCCCCGATTCCCGTTTCCCTCCTGTTGTCTCTATAATTTCATGTGGATGTTTTCTACTGAAAATAATTCTCCCTCCAGTTGTTGTGGTAGGAATCGCCCCCCAAATGTATATGCCTTAATCCCTGGAATTTGTGAACACTTTACTGACATGACAAGAGGGGCTTCGCAAATGGAAATAAAGTCACAGACTTTAACATAAGAAGGTTATCCTGGATTGTCTGGTGGGCCCAATCTCATCACATGAGCCCTTAAAGAAGAAGACTTTCTCTGGCTAACAGAGGAGAGATTAGACAGAAGAGAGAAGCTGATGCAGAGGAAGTTGAGGGATTTGAGGTACAAAAAGGATTTGACCTGCTGTTGCTGACTCTGAAATGTGGGGACCCACACGGGCCAGACAGAGGACTCTAGCATCTCAGTCAGGGCAGCAGCCCTCTGACAGCAGCAAGGAATGGGGTTTTCAGTCCTACAACCCCAAGGAATGGAATCTGACCAACAACTGAATGACTTTGGAAGTGAGTTTATCCCCAGATCTTCCATAAGGGAACACAGCCTAGCCACACCTTGATTTTGGTCTTGGAGACTAAGCAGAAGACCCCTTTGGGTCGTGCTGTACCCACACTTCTCATCTACAGGGCTCCTAGATCCTAAGTGGGTGCTATTTTAAAGCCACAGAATTGGTGGCGATTTGTTATGCAGCTGTGGAAAATGGATACATTTGTATAGTCTGCCGTTAAATCAGTCATGTCCCTAGTGTCAGTGACCATCTGCTTCCCTGTGTGTAAATTTCTGTATCTGTGGTTTCTGCTCCTTCCATTTCATGTTGGTTTACTCCTCATGTGCACTTCTACGTTTGTATTGTTTTCTAAACATTGTTTTTTCAAAATTATTATAGAAATAATTTGGTTTCAAATTTAGGTAGAACGATATTGTCATCTTCCAGA